CAAATAAAATAAAATAAAAAAATAAAACTAATTTAACAAAAAAAAATATATTCTAAATATTTTACATCGATATTTTCATAATTAACACAGATAAGGATCTTTATATAAACTAATATCATTGTCTGTTCAGTAAATTTAAAAATGAGAACTTTAAATATTTTTACATACTAAATTAGATGTACACACTTACACATAGATATATAACCTTACACATTAAAGAATAGTTCAATCAGATTTGTACCACTTACTTATCTATCAATCCTAATAGATCTCAGTTATCAAGGAGTTCTAACATCTTCAACATTCATTTTTTTTTTTAAATTGCCCAATTCAATAACATTATATTACAAAAAAAAAAAAAAATAGAGATAACCTAAAGTCTATGACAATACATTAAACATAATATATTTTTCAAAATAAATGCAATTTTAATAATGAGAAATAAAATTAATTATCACATATAAGTTACAAAATACATACAAAATAAATATACAAAAGTAATACTAATGCAATAACTTTTCGAATACTTTGATCGTTCACATTCCAAATGCAACATATTTTTAAATAGTGGAGAATTAATAAATAACAAAAAAAATATTTTTTTTTAAATAATGCTTTCATTGTAGAATGTAAAATATCCAATAACTCAACAAGGAAAATTCACTTTTAATAAAAGTTTAAGCAACAGCTTATCGTGTTGATCACTGAAAAAAGACGGTATTTCAGAAAAATTGTCCATTTTATAGAAATAATATCTAGAAGAATAAAAAATAATAATTTCTTTAATATAATGATAATATTGTATCTTTAGATTTTAATTTATAAAACAGTTGTCATAGTTAAAAGATAACACCATTTTATTAATTTATAGAAAGTTTATTGAAAAAACCTTCTAATATGATACTCCTGCCTCATCCACCATATAGTCCAGACCTCACACCATCGGATTACTACTAATTTAGATCCATGGCCCATTTTCTTCAAGGGAAAAATTTAATAATTTTGCGGAAGTTGAAATTGCACTCCAAGAGTTCTTCGACAGTCATTCTAAAGAATGGTATCGGCTTGAGATCGACCAATTGGCTAGCAGATGGCCAATGACGGTAGATAACAATGGACTATACTTTGAGTATTAATTGTATTTTATATCAAAGAAATAATAATACAAATATTAAATTGAAAAATGGTCCTTTTTTTTACACATTCTGTTTTACAAGTAATATTAAAAAATAGATTAAACTGAGTTCATATTAATAAAAATTATTTCCTTTTTTTCCTCTCCCAACCTTGATATTTTCCTAAAAATGAAACTTTTTAACCAAAATAAAAACCTTAAATTCAACTGTCTTATCTCGTTCCTTTATACTTACCTAAAAACTTTTTAAAAGTATATTGATATATTTTTTCTGATTAAATTTAACAGTCATATTAACTGCAATATACAGGGAATCTACAATAATTGAGATAAATTTCAAAAAAAATAATTTTACAAAGTTACATAAGACAAATAAATAAATAATACATAATAATCTAACTGGACTAAGCTAAATTAAAATATAATTTTTGCAAAAAATCTGAAAAAGTATTATATACCACAAAACATAGTCCACTATACATGAAATAACTCCAAATACACGTTCCGTTTCAATTCTTAAATATAAATGTATTTATTTAGCTAATAATTTCATTCATATCTTGTTAAAATTTACAATTAAACAATAAAATGTTTTTACAAATATATATACAAATTACCCCAATGTATAGGAGTAAAACTAAGTCTGTCATGTCACTATCATACCACCAACTAAATTAACCAATAAAACAAAAATCAATATAAAAACAAATGCATGTTTGTATATATATATAATAATAATAAAAGTCGATAGAGAAACAATTAATGAGTATTAATCAATGTCAAATAAATGCTAATAGAACTAATGAAAAAAAAAATTAAATATTTATTTTATCCAAAGTGTTTCTTAAAGAAGACTATATGGTCAGTCGGAATGACATTCATTATTGTTTAAGGCTAAGATTGATGGACTGTACTGACTGATTTTCAGAAATCTTAAAGTCCAAGCTTCAATTACGAGACCTAGCTTCCAGTGTTATACTAGGTCCATGGCCAACATATATTTCTAATCGCGTTTTAATCGGAATAACAAGAATGACCTTACAGTACAAGAGGGACCTATACAAGATACAAGAATTGTCCGCAGACTTCACCGTACAAAAAGGAGTGAAACAGAAAGAATCCTTATCACCATTGTCATTTAACATGGTAATTTAAAACATACACTTTGAGGGCCAGTTTTTACAACTCAGTAAAGCTTAGATTAAGCATTATCTAAGATTAAACCAAGTTTAATCTTGATCGGTCGACCGAAACTTAGTTTAATCTTAGATAACACTTAATCTGAGCTTTACTACTAAGTTGGAGCAACTGGCCCTGAGAGGTATACAAAGAATATGGAGAGGCAGTAACTAAAATAGAGCTCAAAATAAACAAGAAAAACAAAATACAGATGTCAGTCAAGGAAAGCAAAACTGGTAGATCTAATTTATACTAAAAATAGGTGGAAGATATAATTTAAAAAAAGCTACGAAATTCAAATTATTTTGGCACGATTGTCACAGAAAATAATAAAATAAAAGATAAAATCTAGATTCAAAATGGCAAACAATGCTATTGGGCACTCAAGAAAATTCATTTAAATCAAGAAATTACATACAAAGCAAGAATATATAACACCGTCCTCCTATCAGTAGTGATATATGCCAGTGAGGCCTGGCATTCTTAAAAAGTGACAGAAGAATTATATTAATATAACGGAGAGGAAAATCCTCAGAAAAGTATATGGCCCATCCAAAATCAAAAATGCAAACAAAATAAAAACAAACATGGAACTAGAGATCTGTATGGAGATCCATATTTAGTTTCATGTGTCAAAAAGGGAAGGATAAGATGGTTAGGACATATACATTGAATGGACCAAGAAAGGCTCCCGAATAAGATAACAGAGGGATACTCAGCTGATAAAAGAGGAATATGCCTAGAATTACATACAGCTTCTGGATGTGATGATTACAAAGCATAGAATAAACTAGAGAGAAGGAGATGTGCTCTAGTACCCCTACCACTAATGGATCTACTTCTCTTCGGACAGACCCTTACGGAGCACGGAATTTCTTCTTTTTATTACTTTAATTATATATTTTTTCACCATTACAATTAATAAACGGAAAATAAGAAAGGTGATGCATATTGTAAAACATTAATTTAGAGCATGATATTAAAATGTATTCATGAATTTTATATTGACCTTTGAAGTGAACTTTTTTCAGTTTCAATCTTATTTTTTGTTTCTCAATTTCTTAATTTTTTATCTCAAACAATTTTTTTAATTCATATTGTAAAATAAATTTTACTAATGCTCTGAAGGAGCCAATGGTTATGGCCGTCTTCCTCACCCATTAAGAAATGATCATGGTCCTTAAAAAAATGTTTTGTTGCTTCTTGTTTTTTTTTTCACAGATTTTAAAAATTCTTATTAATTTATCCATTAAATCAAAATTCCATCATATTTTTATTATATCTTGGTATTTTATTTAAATCTTTCACTTAAATATAATTAATGTTAAAAAAAGTATAATTAAAACAAATTGTCTCTTTTACCACTGGTTAATCCGGACTATATTGCTATAATTTTATAGCAAATTTAGTCTTGATTACGATAGTTTCAATATCAAGATCGTATAACCTAAAAAATTTTTCATTCATTGCTCCTGTCACGAGAAACAAAGATAAGACTGTATAAGACTTTAGTAAGACCTATTGTGACTTACGCAGCGGAGACAGGGACCCTTTGTACTAGCACAATGAGTATGATGAATTTTTTTGAAAGAAAAATATTGAGAAGAATTTATGGAGCTGTTTGTGAAGAGGGTGTGTGGAGGTATAGAAAAAATGCGGAGCTACATGAATTATATAACAGCCCCAACATAGTTAATTTCGTTAAAATTAGGCGTATGGAATGGTTAGGCCACCTGGTTAGAACGGACCACGGCAGGCTGCCTTATAGGCCATTGTTCTCCACGATGTACGGCACAAGAAGTAAGGGAAGACCAAGAAAAAGATGGCTACAAGATGTTGAGAGCGACCTTAGACCGCTAGGGATGATTGGCACGCTATGATTCAGGAAGCCATGGCCCACCCTGGGCTGTAGAGCTACATAGTAAGTAAGTATCAAAACTATTTTCTGTGAGTAACAGATCTGTATTGCCAAGGCTTTTTTTTCTAGAAAAAAAGTCAATTTTCAACCAATGCGAGGCGCGGAGAGTTACGAGAATAAGATCCAGTAGAGATGGGGGTAATGGGACACATCTCAGCCGAAGGCGTTTCTACTTTATTCTATACTCCCTGGGTGCTATAGAATGGAGAAGAAATGCAGAGGATCTTCCTGAGTAGAGAATGGTTGAGGATACCAAGGCTGTTTATTTCAAATCATCTGGATTTATGTATTAATAAATATACAGGATAAACAAATTATTGAGATTTTAATGTAGTTGAGGTTATATTTTTTTAACTTTAATCAAAACAATTTTCAGGCACAAAGAATAATTCTAGGATAATAGTCAAACAAGCTTTTTTTTTTTTTATTAAACATATTAATATACAATGCGCCAGATCCGTTCAGCCTGGTGCCTTTATGTCAACTGAGCTAAAATGACATCAGTCTGACTGATGTATGTACGGACCATCGTGATTGAAGTCATTCTTGTCATTAGTATTAGACAGTAAGACTGTCATTCCTCAATGACCTTGTAGGGTCCACTTAAAATACCTCAGATATTTGGGAAACATAATATTGACTAACGCTAAGGGCCACAAGAACTTAACATAATCAGACTAATTTTATGGCAATTTAGAAAATATGAAAGACAATTATAAATCATGATAAAATAAAGAAAATATTAGGCTCGCGATAGGGCGAGAAAGGTTAGTTCTGGTGTTTAGTATACGTCTGTTGGTGGGAACAATCTCTGTAAACAATAAGATTGAATTCTATGAAGTCTGTTCCGAGCCCAGTGCTGTCCCAATTACAGACATCCTGAAAGAGTAAACAGTGGATACATATTAAAAATCAGTGAATTATAAAATAATAATATAATCACAGCATATATTTCATTTATTAAGTGGAAAATTTGTAAAACTGAACTAGCAAAGCATAGATTAATGTATGATCGATTTTATAATTTGTATTTATTTACTCTATTTATTTCTTTGGACGATCAATTTTATATTTCTTTATTGAGTATTACAACAATCTGTCCCTTGGACATTGGTTATAGTGAGGTAGGATGACATTCACACTATATGTACAAAAAAAAATAAAATAAATAGAAACAAAATAATAATTAAAAGTACAAAATAATAATCAAAAGTGGACGATCAATTAAAAAAGAAAAATTTATTTAAGACAATAATGATAAAATAGCCAAGCACTCAACTGAAATTAAATTAAGTTTTGTTTCCTAATTTAAATTAATATAGTGTATATAGGTATGCATGTGTTTTTTGCTTAGTTTTAATTCTCTTATTTTTAGGTTATTTTATTTTATTTATTGTATATACTTTTTGATTATTATTTATTGTTATTTTGCTTATATTTATTTTGTATTTTTTTGTACATATGGTGTGAATGTCATCCTACCACACTATAACTTAGGTCCAAGTGACAGATTGTTGTAATACTCAATAAATAAATAAATAAAACATTATTATACCTTTTTTTTTACCATAAAAGTTTACAAAAAAAATACATTGACATTATGCCCAATATATCACTTTATCTCAATTTATTTCAGAGCTTTTACCATCTTATTTATTTTTTAACAATAACTCCTAATTTAAAAAAGTTGAAAATAGGAGTCAAAATATAAGAATTATTAAACTTACCGTACTATCAGAAGAAGCTAGCCTGTAAACAATAACTGCCTGGCTAAGATGAGCTATGTTTAAAAGGAACACGGAACTCTGTTGCATTTCCTTATCGGCAGAGCAGCTGTCCAGATACTGACGACACCTCACCACGCTTTCGTCTCCCATACCTTCCGGCCTTTATGGAATAATAATAGTAATAAGAAATAATTATTTATTCTGGGACGAGTCCCTTTAAAATAATACAGAAATACATAAATATGGGCTAAGGAGCCTTAGAGATACATAAATAAAAATACTGAGTAATTAAACAGTCATAGTAAAAAAATGAAAAATTATAAGTTATTTTATAATTTTAATCAGTTAATAATAATGAAAAAAAAAAAAGGATGAAGTAAAAATAATGAAGAACAAACTAATAATTTATATACATATTTACATTAGTATCTATTTACAATTTCATGGGGACTGGGTGGATAGGAAATGATTGAACAGGCGGGATTTAAAGGTAGGAAGGGTATTGGGTTGACGAATGTGAGAGGGGATGGAGTTCCAAAGGGATGAGGATCGGATAATGAAATATCTGTCAAAAGCAGCTGTTCGTTGGGCCCTTATGTATAAATAGGGGTACCGTACAACCTTAAATCAAGGACTTGAAAAGATATTTTTAAGTTTTACATTTAATTAGTTTCAATATGACTTGAATCTTTATTTTCAACTTTTTTTCTATTATTTTGGAACTAGAATTTTTTCCATCCAACTTTTCATATAAAGGTTTTACAGAACTTTTTTTTTTTGAACTAAAATTAAAAAAACTATTTACTTAGTTTTATCCTCCAAGCTATTTGACATCTATTTAGCTTTAGGTACAATAATCAATGATTTAACAGTGACCATATTCTAATTCTTAGTAATTCCTACTCGGCCTTCAAGATAATAAAAAAATTTAAATTACGTAACAACACCATTGTCTTCCAAATCACACAAATCATTCAACTAACAAACAAAGCTACAGAATTTCTGAGGGCCCCCGGTCGTACAGGAATACGAGGTAATGAACTGGCTGCTATAGCTGCAAAAGAAGCATCTATCATACTTCCATCACCTGACATAAACATAGTGCTCTACGATTTCAATAACTCAGTTTTCAACCACTGTAGAGAGGCCTGGAGCTATTGTTGGACAAGAGTTCCTATTACCAACAAAATTAAAAGCATTTTTAATAATATGAATCCAACCGACGGGAGCTAACTATTATCACACGTCTCAGAATAGTGCACACCAGACTCAAGCATGGGCACCTACTCGACGGTAGATCACCACCAAGATGTAGCAGCTGCAATATAGTTTTAACAACGTTACACATTTTAAAAAATTGTCTGAGCTTGGACCCATCAAGGACTTCATATCGCCTGCTGGGATATTGACAAGCAGTACACAGAAGCACTTACTTCAATTTACAGAAAAACACAATTACTACGGACATATTTAAAGAATACAATCTTCATACAAGTACTCACGACGTAAATAAGAAACAATCTATGCAGCTGTAACAACACAATTTTTAAAGAAATATCTTAACATAAACACATCTAAAAAAAAAAATAAACATGCTTTCTACAGATACATTGTAATGTAATTCAATAACAAATAAGGCGCCTCTAACCTATATAGTTGCACACGGCACCTAAAATATAATAAAATAAATAAAGTTTGAAAAACCTTTTTAATTAAAAGTTTTGTTGATTTCATCAAAAAGTATATCTAAAAAATTACCCTTCTAAAATGTATTCTAGCTGCTCAAACAAATGAAACATGAGAATCAAGTTTTTGTTCATATTCATTTAAAACAAATTATAACTCTAATCTTAACCCAATATCTGTCTAATTCTCATCTAAACTAACTTTTTTTAAAAACTTAAATAAATAAAAGTTATACTTTTACCATAAATCTAGAACTTTATGAAAACAGAAGTTCCTTCTTTTTTGGCTCTAACATTTTAAACAAAATACTATTATGAAATTATATTTTTAAAAACTTTTTTTCTACAACGTTTCAATCAAGTGGTTTCCTGTAAAAAACAACTAACAGATGATTACAAAGTGTGTATCTGCAAAACATCTGTAAAGTAGGAACAAAAATCTTAAATTCCTCCAAGCTTTTGTGTATTTTTGATAACGCCAAGGAGTCATTTAAAAATACATTTTTCAGTTTTTTTACTGTTCTCTTTTAGCATTAATACAAGTGATAACATAAAAAGCTAAACGCTAATCAGATAATTGATGCCCTCACATTCTATTTTACAATTATCAGTCTCACAAATATAAGATCACACCAATGAATGGCATGTCATTTCTAGATATTGATAATGCAATAATATGAATCTTCATGTTTGACAGTTAAGATATATTGCTTCTAAGCTATTGAAATAATAAATTAAGATTCTTAATATTTTTTTCTTAATGCTTACCTGAAATGGAACTTCAATATAGAATCGTGGAGGTATCTGCTTAATGGAATGTGATAAGTGTAGTTACTAGCGGTAAAATGAGTACACTGTACAAACTGAGGGTACAGTGGGTCACAATTTTTTGGACCAAGTGTAATGTTGAAATCCGTACCCTCAATAATTAGCTTCGAGGTTATCACTAAATAAAAAATAAAGAAAAATTAAACTAAATTCATATAAAGACTGAGTAAGTACAATTAAAAATAAACAAAAGTTCTATTAGTCCGTGATACAGACCCCTTTTTTTCAAATAATTAACTTTGTAAATACCTTAATCTCATCATAACCTACAATTACTTTATTTACAAAGATTTTAGGAATTGGGGTGTTTTCAATCTGGAGATCGTCATACTTTGTTTATTTAATTAGGTACTAAAAACGAGTAAATACCCATTTGCTTGAATCGTAAGATAACTAGATCATAAAATGGAGAAAAAGGTGGGCTTCAAAAATATTGAGCCATTTGACCTATATAACCTCGTTATTTTGACAATTTGGGGGTGTAGGTCACACCAGACCGCTCAATGTTTTTGAAGGCTATCTTTTTCCTCGACTTAGTGCTCAAAATCTTGATTGAAAGTGCTCCAATTCCGAGAATTTGGGCACATAAATAAAATATTTGTAAGTTACGATGAGATGAAGCTATTTACAAGACTTCAGGTGGATGTTGATAATTTGATAAAAAAGGGGTCTGTACCATGGCCTATATATATATAGTATGGCCTAACAGTAAAAAATATAAAATTTTTGATATTTTTAGTCATTGTAATTTTTATTTAGCAAAGCCTGAGAAACTAAGAGTTTAGAAAAAAAAATTAATACTAATAACTCTTTGTTATCCCAATCCTTCATTAGAGGTAAAAGATGAAAAATAAATTGTCAAATTTTAATATTACACTTTAAACAGGGAAAGCAATTAATGTACAAGAAAAATCTGAAAGCAGTATATATTTTTAACATATTGAGCAATTAATGAAAAAATAAAACAAAAAATTAATGTTTAACAATTGAGAAAGAAAAGATCAATTTTACAATAAACAGCAATATTACAAAATTAAAATCTACAATTATAAACAAAAGTTCAATAGAAGAATAAAAATAATAATATTTAAATTAATCGAAAAATATTATTTGTAATGAAAAAATATTTATTATTATGTATGAACACTTATTAATATTTCTGATTATTAGTTCAAAGTTGAACAAAGAACACAGTACAGTTGTGTACCTAAGGGTCCATCGTGAATAAAAAATACATAAACAAAAGTCCTCTTGGAGGATATAGTGAAAATGTATGCCTATATGTAGTATATCACTCATCATGACAATATTGACTGTCCTGTAGCTATCCATCAAACTAAAACATTAACTACTTCCAGAAAGCCACCAGAAGTAAATACGATTGATGCAATTTATTTATGTCTAGGAGACTGACAATGGTAACAAACAAACACAGACATATGTATTGTTACAAAGACGAGCCAAAATCATCAATTTGTAAAAAGTCAAATGATACACTTGATACAAAACATTACTTAATTATCTAAGATGTTGGCCACAATAGCTACCTATTGCTATTGGATAATAGACAAAATTATTGGAGCTAAGCTTAATGAGTGACGAAAGACTACCTAGACAATGCTTTAATAGGCTTAGAGCTCTAGACTCATCCACATATATATATATATATATATATATATATATATATATATATATATATATATATATATATATATATATATATATATATCGTTTACTAATCTATAATTATATTAGTCATACTTAATTCTGTAGATGTTGTCAATGTTATGTTTGAACGCAGTAATAGACTTAAGATCTTACATTGTTAATAATACCATTATATTTATTGGTACAGGGATTTCCTTAGACAAATAAAATAAACTATTCTATTCTAGTTACCACTCAAATAAAAATTAAATGATTTTAAATATAGTAATTTTTGGTATAAATAAATATGTACATCATATCATTATAATAATAGTCAAATAATTATAATGATATTACCTGAGTGACGAGGTATCCTAGGTTTCAATTTTCCGATTGACTGGATTCCTGAAGATTCATACCTCTGTTTAAAGAAAAAATAACATTATTGAAAAATGTTTGCATATAAACATTATTATCATTCTAAAAGTTAAAAAAAAACCCATACCTGATGATCAGATGATAAATCAGAATCTTCAAGAAAATTGTTACCTATAAATAAAAAAAAACTTTACAATTGCAAAGATAAATTATTTGAACAAATATGAATAATAATAAATTAAGTTTAGTTTTATATCATAACGTTATAACTTTTCATAATTGTGGGTTGATGGTTGACTGTAGTGAATAATTGAAGAGAATGATGGTTGGGATGATAAGTCAAAATAAAAAATACTAAAAATAAATAATTATATTGCCGACGTTTCGACACGCAGTTCAGGCCTTCATGAGGGCTAAGAAAAAACATCTCCAGATACATTATTTCTATCCTCTTTCAATTACACATTTATTTAATAACTCATAGAATTTATCTATAATAAACCTCTCGTCTATTATATATGCTTTTGTGCTTTAGTTCAAGTATGTCAGTAAACCGTTACAGATGGCGCTATATAAATTCTACTCTTTTCTGCTATAATACGTTTGTCTTTAATTTTTTATTTGTGCCGACGTTTGTTTCAACCAAAACATGTGGGTCATCTTCAGGGCGTGGTTTGAGCACTGAGGGTGTTCAAGTACTCGAACCAAACCCTGAAAATGACCCTCATGTTTGGGTTGAAATGTTGGCACAAATGAAAAAATAAAAAAAAAATTTAAAAATACTGCGTCCTGAATATTTATCACCCAATATATGTAGAACAGTCGACTAGCTTCCTTCAACTTCAAGACTTAAAAACTTTTAATTTTGAAAATGAAAATGATTAATAATAAAAAAGTGGTTACCTAGATCGATATCATGAAGTGGATGGTTTTTTGACGATTCTGGGTCGCAACAAAAAACCTGTAAATAAAATAAAATTTTAACCAAATCAATAATTAATTTCAAGGAAATTACAAACAGTAAAAGAAATTTTAAATAGGGACATATATAACTAAAATTTGTAAAGTTAACTCCCATTTATCTGTCCTCATTAAAAGCAATACAGTGCTGGTTTATTGGCATAGCTGATTATGAACTTCAATATTGATAGATCATATCAACTTTGTTATAAAATACTGAAAACTTTGTTAACAGTTTTTCTCAAATAGTATGAACCTTACTTATTTATAGGCAAGAGATATCTATACATTTTCATATATTTCTTAAAAGCTTCAAGACTGAAGTTTCATGATTTAAATAGAAATATATATATATATATATATGAGGCATAGAATTCGATAATCAACCATATTCATTTTCCAATTTCTTTAAAACATTTTTGTACTAAATAATCATGGAAAGATTTAATATTTTTAACATTTGTGATTATAAGATTACAATGTCATACTATAATACTACAATGCTATCTAGCATTATACTATACGATTTATTTGTTTAATGATTTTTTTATGAAAGGTCAACAAAATATTCATTTTCTTTACTATCCTTTTATTTTTTGCTGACGTTTCAGATTCATGAGCCATTTACAAGTATGAACTATCAGGAATCTTCTCTAGATTCATAGTTTATTAACCAATAATATAACTGTCCTTGGAAGTAATCAAGAAGACATTGATAAACTTGCTACAATACTGATAACAGAGGCAGTGCAGATCGGCTTACAAGTAAATGAAGATAAATCATTCCCCAGACAAAGCGTAGAAAGAAAATCAATCCCGAGAATAGAAAAATTCAAATATCTAGGCTCTACAATAACCTCAATGAATGGCCAAAGGGCAGAAATAGACCAGTGTATAACAAGAGCAAACAGAGCTTTCTTCTCCCTCTCAAAGCTACAGAAATCACGATATATCTCAAACTAAGGATGTACAATGCTATGATAAAGCCAGTTCTAATACATGGATGTGAGACCTGAACACTAACCAGCACCCTACAAAAAAGGAAAAAGGAGAGGAAAATCCTCAGCACGATAACCAGAGCGATCTGAGATCAGAGTACTAACACATGGAGAAGAAAGACCAATGAAGAACTGCTTACAGAAACTGCTAAATCAATATCCCATGACATCAAGGCACAGCACGGTTAAGATGAACGGGGCATGTAGCTCATAGCAATCCATCTGAAAGCCTCTACGTAACAATGAATGCCTCAATAGAAGACAAAAGACCACGTGGAAGGCCAAAAAGCAGATGGATAGATAGAATCAACAAAGATGCAACAGTTGGAAAGAAATAGCCCAAGACAGGCATAGATGGAGCATGCTTGTTAAGGCGGCAAAAGATCTACATGATCTGTAAGAACAAAAAAAAAAAAAAAAAAAAATATATATATATATATATATATATATATATATATACAATAATTATGATTTCGTATGGCCAGATGATATCTATCGGTAACTACCATTAATGACAAGTAAATAATTTATACATAATTATATTTTTTTTTCTAATAATTTCAATACTTAATATATTAGAATAATACAATATAGTATAATGATATAATAAAATGTAACATACTGAAAATCTAATCTAATATATATTTTTATCATCTTTAGACAAAAATTGTATATGTAATTGTATATGAAAATTGTATTGCAATACATTTTCCGTAGTTAGATAATTTTATTGATATTACAGTCATGATGGCCGAGTGTATTAAAACCTAAATATTAACATTATCCAGTCAAATGATGGCAGTTTGAATCCACCCTGGCAGGTTGAAATATATTTTGTGGTGGATCCAGGGAATGAATCATGACCTTCCCTCTTTTGTCAGAATAGATTTGGTTCTACTTTTAGAACACCTCCTCCCAGCCCTATATGTCTGGAATGGCTATATAGGGAATAATCAAGAAAAAAAAAATCAGAAATCTCATCTTTTAGCAATCGAACACCATTCGGCATTCCATAATGATATTCAATAACTGAATGATATTCGATAATGTATGAATGAACATTTTAAGTGGAGGGGGGGGGTTTACCTTTGATTTATTGATATAAACGACTTATATTTTTTAAATTCATACATATAAACTTTACCTGGCAATTCCCGTGCTGACTTCTACAGTGAGCAGGATAACCTATTATAGGAGGGTTGTTCAAATTTCTGAAAAAAAAATAATGTTATTAAGAAACTCTTTTCAACTAAATACTGACGTATATATAAAAAAATAAAATGACTTACAGGAGTTTTTCTTTATTCACAGGAAAATAAGACTGCATCGAAGGTTTAAGCCAAGTTTTTGATCCGTTAGGCAAAGCATTCAAAACAGCTCTTTCAACGTTCCTTTCTCTGAAAGATGAAATAAATATATATATAGAAAGTAAACTTTAGAGAGAAAGTAAACTTTATTCTGGGACAAGGTCCCTTATGAATAACAGATATGAACAAAAAATAAAAACTACATCTGGCCAAAAATAACACCATTTTGAAAAAATAAAAATAAAAAAAAACATTATTTAAATGAAAAGAGAACAAAATAAAATAAACTTGGGTTGATTTTTAAAATTAAAAACTCTATCAATTTTTACAACCACTCACCTCAGTCAAAATCTGTTTCGCAATATTTATTTTATTGTATAACGTCATTTTGGGATGTGAGAAGGAATTGGTAAAGATGATATTTAAATGAGGACAAGGAAGAGGCATGGCGGATTTCAGAAGGCAAGGAATTCCAGAAGGCAGTGGATCGGGCAATAAAGGAATATTCAAACGTCTTAGTTCTATGGGAAGGGATATAAAGGTCGGAAACACGGGATCTTGTTTTCTGGGAGTGGACCACTGGTTTAAACTGCAGGAGACTGTAGATGTAGGAAGGGTGTCGGGTGTTGATCGTTTGGAATAGGAAAGATCCAAGGAAATATTGTCTGCGGAAAGGAGATAAATATATATATATTGTTAAGAATCTACATGATTAAAGAAATAATATATAGATTATACAGATAATAATAATAATAAGGCTTAGCGAACCCGAAGGTTCGATGCCGACACCACCAATCGCTTGTTACACACCTCCCTCCACCGTTCGCCGTCCAAACCCAGTCCCTTCAGATCAGCTTTAATGCAATCTTCCCACCTTCGCTTCGGTCTACCCCTCGGACGCTTACCATTCGGCACAGCAAATATTAACCTTTTAGGAATTCTCTCGTTACTAAGCCCAACAATTTTACAAGCCCATTTGATTCGCCGCGATGAAATTACCTCAATTATATTACCCGGATATAGCTCACACAATTCGGCGTTGTGTAACCGTCTGAACTCTCCGGTTAACTCATCCTTCTTCGGTCCGAATATTCTACGCAATACTTTATTTTCAAAAACCTTAAGACGCTGCTCATCCCTTAATGTAAGCGGCCAAGTTTCGCATCCATAAAGAACTGTAGGCAAGATAATTGTTTTATAGATTCTAATTTTTAAGTTTCGGGACAAGAGGCGCGAACTGAGTAGTTTTGTCACAGAAAAATAACAAGCATTCCCCGCCTTCAGTCTAACTTTAATCTCTTCTTCAATTTCGTTTTTTCTAGTTATCGTAGAACCTAGATACCTAAATTTATCTACCTGTTCAAACATATTACCATCTATATCGATGTCACCAGTAGTATCGCCATTTTTGCAGCTAACCATATATTTTGTTTTATCCACGTTTATTTCGAGTCCTAGTTCTTTACCGGCTTTCATTAACGTTGTCGTATTTAGTTTTATAGTTTCAACGTCTTCGCTTAACAGTACCAGATCATCAGCATAGCCCAGCACGGATGTTGTCCCGCCCAGATCCAACCCTTTCTCGGTACGCATTACCTCCCTAATAGCATGTTCTAATGCCAAATTGAACAGGACAGGCGAAAGAGAATCCCCCTGTTTTAAGCCCGAACGAACCTCAAATTTTTCGGACAAATTATTACCGATTCTGACTTTATTGAGTGTCTCCGTCAAGCACATCCTGACTAGATTTACTAGTTTTTTTGGAATTCCCTGCTCGATTAGAATATTATACAGTTTCTGGCGGTCAATAGAATCGTAAGCCTTTTTAAAATCTATATACAGCTGGTGAACAATACCGTTATACTCCAATTTTTTCTCTAATATTTGCCGTAAAGAAAATATTTGATCAATAGTCGAACGATTCCGTCTAAATCCGCATTGGTATTCTCCGATAATTTCCTCGGCGTATTCCGTGATTCGACTGGTTAAGATTACAGTGAATATTTTATAACATACCGGAAGGAGTGAAATTCCTCGATAGTTATTACAATCCGTCCTCGGACCCTTTTTGTGAATCGGAATAAGAATAGATTCTTTCCATTCTTCAGGTAATTTCTCGTTCACCCAGATCTTTTCAACCAACCGATGTATTTTAGAAACTCCAGCTTCCCCGCATGCCTTAATTAGTTCAGTAGGAATATTATCGATTCCCGCTGCTTTATATGATTTTAATTTACCGATAGCTACTTCAACTTCCTCTTTACTTGGTCCTTCTATTAACGGTTCAGCACTCTGGTACTCAGAAGGAGGACACAGATCATAATTTCCCGTATTTAAAATATTGTCAAAGTGGTCCTTAAACTTATTCAATATGTCCACCGGATCGGTCAGAATATTGTTATTATCATCCCTAATTCCAGACGTTACGGGACCTACATATTTACGTGATCTGTTTATACCTTTGTACATGTCTCTTACGTTATTTTGGATTCTATTAGTTTCTATTTCAATTATTTTATTTTTAAGATACTCCCTTTTTTTATTTTTGAGCAATTTTGTCGTTTCGTTCTTTGAATTCGGAAGTATTCCAGATTGTCTTCGCTAGGATTATTTAGAGCTTTTAATTTAGCGGCTTTCCTTTTTTCGCACATGTTTAAGCAATCTTCATCAAACCACGGTTTGTTATTCTTATTTTCCTTTTTTCCTAGACACGAGTTAGCGACCGCTTTAATATTATCCCTGATCTCTACCCATAACTTGTCAATATCCTCGTGGTCCTCGTCAGGAAGCTCTAAAGCTTCAAACCTATTCTTAACATCTAGCTCGAATTGGTTTCTAATTGATGGATTTTTTAATTTTTCCAAATTAAAATTCTCAAAATCGAAACGGTTTTCTTTTCTCTTTTTTATATTAAGTTTTTGTCGAAGTTTCGCGATTACTAATTCATGATCCGACCCACATTCTGCTCCGCGATAAGACCGTACATTGATTATACTGCTTTGCCAGCTGTGTTGTATCAAGACATGATCGATTTGATTTCGTGTTTGCGAATCCGGCGATGTCCAAGTATATTTATGAATATCCTTACGTTTAAACGTCGTACTTTTAATTACCAGGTTTTTCGAGATGGCAAAGTTTATCAGACGGATCCCATTATCATTACTATATTCGTGCAAACTTTCTTTACCAATCGTCTGAATATAAACTTCTTCCCTTCCTACCTTTGCGTTCGCGTCACCTACAATTATTTTCATGTAGTTTCGCGGTAGTTTATCATAAACCCATTCGAGTTTATCGTAAAATTCACTTTTGACTTCATCGTCACTGTCTTCGGTCGGACAATGTATGTTTATTAATGCGATTTTAAACCAACGTCCCTGAAATGTAGCTACCGAAATTCTATCACTAAAGAATTGTACGTCCCTCAAAGCGGATAGTAATCTACTCCTAATTAGAAACCCGGTACCTAAACAATGATTCCCGCTTCCTCCGTACCAAATAGTGTACTTTCCTTCCCTCATCGAGCCCTCCCCTGGCCAGCGAACCTCTTGCAGAGCCACGACATCCAAATTGTACCCATTTACCTCATTCGCGACCGATTTTAGCCCCCCTGCTGTGTTTAAACTCCTTACGTTCCACGTACCAATATTTAAATCCCTATATTTCAACTTGCGGCATGAATCCCCTAAAGCAGTCCCCACCCGGAGACCCGAACGGGGGACTAGTTTACCTCCGGATAATGAGCGTTTTACCTTAGGGAGATCCATGACTTTTTGTGGTGTTTGGTGAACTAAAGATATGTGAGTAGGGCGTTCAATCCTACGTCACACCCTCCAGCAAGTCTGGTGGGCCCCTACCTCCAGCAAGTCTGGAGGTCCCCTCCCTCCAGCAAGTCTGGAGGGCCCCTCTCATTGTTGGTCAGCGAGTCCCTCGGACTTAGCCGGGAGGAACTTTCAAGGAATTTCCACCGACCATCCCCACATCCGCCACCCGTGGGACGCTCCCCATACGCGGTAATGAGCCCGCGCGAGGTAGATTATACAGATATAATTAGTAAATTTCATGCGTACAATTTTTTATTTCTAAAAATATCGGTATAGTTAGTCGATAACTTAGAGTTATAGCAAATGTATAGACAGTCCTTTCAGAGTTTGATATTTATGTAATACTGAAAAATATTTTCATTTATATAAAACAGTCGGTTTATAATAAAGGTTTTGTGACTGTCCAACCACTTAATTTGGAAAGAGATTGAGTTCTATTGACACTAATATAAAAGAAAAAAATGCATATAAAAAAGTATTAGTTAGACATAAATAATGATCTACCAACTGGAGGATATATGTTGACTAATTTAAGTGCAATATTTAAGAATAAAATAATAAACAAATGTTAACAAAAATTAATATTAATTTAAAAAAAAACATTGAATAAAGAATAAAATTTACAACTGAATAATATAAAAAGGATTTAGGATTTGTTTAGGACTAAATAAATAACAAAAAATTGTTTTAAATCATTTTGAATTGTCAGGATTAGAAAATAATTTATGACATCAAAAGTACAAGAATACTTTGAAAAGTGTGAAACTCTTAATTAGATTTGTGGTCTTAATCGATTTTTCTATAAAATGGAGAGCAGACAAAGCTTAAATCAGCATTTTTTTTATTTCCTGAATTAAATTTTAAGATTTTTTCAATAAAAATTTAAGTAATTCAGTAATTACTATAACCTGAGGTAAATAGGTTTGTTTCAAACTGCTCACGCGATATGCACTATATTTAATTGATGATTTTTTAATAATTAACAATTGTCTGATACTACTAGATACCTGCCCTCCATGCATCAGATAAAAAGTGTTAATATAATATTTTGTCTCTAGCTGATACATTTAAAAAAAATCTACCTAAATCAAATTTCAGGATTGATGTATTAAATTTTTCTTAAAGGATTCCCAATGGGTTAAATTCCAAATTGTGAAATGAAAATAAACTAGGATTTATGTCACCTTAGAATAAATTACAGAAATGATATAGTGCCTCTTATAATCAACAAAAATATTTTTCATAATAGTGGTTAAATAGTTGACTGTCGTGAAAAATTAGAAGAAGAATAGTTGGCGTGATCAGTCAAATAAGAAGGCAAAAATAAATTATAATATTTATTTTGTCATTTGCTGATGTTTCAACCTGAAGTTCAGGCCATCATCAGGGCTAAGAAAAGAACCAGATAACAAGGTATGAGAAACATAAAATTTACAGTAAAATGAAGTTATTAGAATAATGACAATAGTAAGAACAAGAGACAAATAATAATAACAGGTACAAAGTGTGCAATGATAAAGTAAACATAGTCAAAAAGGTGACATAAGTATTGTAAAGGGAATATTAGAATAAAATGTAAAACAGAAAAATATGAAGTTATATAAGAAATGGAAATAAATAGTAAAATTAAGATATAGTGAACAGAATAATAAGATAGAAAATTGAGATGTTGTAAAGTCTATCAATATGTACAGACAAAGTATGAAATAATAAAGAGTTAAAACAGAGAAAAGGAATGAAAGGAAGGAGGAAAGAAACTGAGAAGGTTGAAATAAGTAAGAGAAGAGATAACACACCTGACTGCTCTAAGGTAGAAGATGAAATGCTTGTGTTATTGAAGGAGGGGGGTGGATAGAAGAATAATATCATAAGATAAAATAAAAATATTTTTCTTCAAATAAAAATAAAGAGATGGAAATGAAAGTTAATTATTATTTACAAATATTTGCATTAATTCAGTAAATCATAATTACAATTTAGAAAAAAGAAGAATCACTATGGACTATTTATGGAATAGAATTTCATTTAAACAACAAAGTTTTACAAATGTAACTGTTCAGGGGTGGGGTGGCTGAGCGGACTAATGTGTGTGCGCAGCAGCACGCGTTGCCGGGCAACCTGATAACCAAAGCTGGGGACAATAAAATTCCGAGTTTGCGTCCAGGTGCCCAGGAGCTCTTTCAACTCTGGCATTAATTCCCCGCCCTCACCCCCTGGCTTGGAAAAAACTACTGTATAACTAAAATACGAGGTAGGGAAGAACGAGAAAAAAAAAAAAAGTATACCTGTTTACATGTGATGTCATGGGTCCCCTCCTGTGTACTTCCAAAAAGTAAAGAGTCGCAATAGAAATAAGGCTGCAAGAGAAATAAAAATGAGATAGTTTAAAATTATTTATTCCTTAAATAATAATACTAAAAAAGAAAAAAAAAAATTCATACCATAGTGCCATGATAACAATGAGCATGTATATTGTTGTTTGAATCATTGTATCAGAACAGACTTCATCGTCGATTTTCTTTTTACCACTTTTCTTCTTCTTAGAACAAACTAATAAAATAATAATAATAAAAAAAAATGAATTTTCCAACACAATTAATTTTTATTTTATGAATCAGAAGAGGAAATAAAACTGAGCTAACCATTGTACTGCGTCACTCTTTCAAGTTCCTGTAGCCTCGCCTGAAGGTTTCTGGTAACTTTCGCTAACTCTTTGACAGCTCCAATGTTTTCCATGAAAACTCGCTCCTGTCAGTAATAACATTATAAATTAGAACATAAGTGCATTTTAATTAGTTCAATAACATCTCTAATCAATAACATATAATTATGTGACATACATAAACACTTATAACAATAATGTATTAATGCATTTTTGTAAATAGATAATATGAACTAAACAATGTAGATAATGATTGAGAAATGAGAAAAATTAACCAATAATTAGTCACATACAGTAAAAATTGGTTACAGCATTCCGATTTATAACAATTTCCTGGCTATAGCTTTCTTTTTTCTTGATTCTGGTATAAGTTAGTGGATTTCCCATGAAAATTTATTCATTATAACGTTCTGATTTCTTGGTCTGATTGCAATTTTTCTCTATGTTTTATAATAAGATTTGGTACTTGTGACGCGGCCTCTATGGACTGCTATCTGCAGTTATCTTGTTATTTAAAGTGTTGTTGTTATTTATATTTCATATTATTAGATGTTTATAACCTCAACACTGATAATTGTTATAAGGCACTGATAATCCCTATCTTCATATGAAATTAGACTCTCGTATAATAAGAAATATAAATATATTTGGTGTTGCCTCTTTTTTGCCTGTTTCTTATTAATATATATATATATATATATATATATATATATATATATATATATATATATATATATATATATATATATATATTAACAAGAAATATAAATAACAACAACAACACTTTAAACAAGATAACTGCCGACAGCAATCCATAGAGGCCGCGTCTTCACAAGTAGCTAAGATTTTTTTTTAAATTTATTTGAAGTTTAAATGGAGAACTGTTAGGAAACGGTCTACAGATATGTAATTCCTTGGTATGTGTTTACATGAATTGAAAATTTTATATTTCCAATTTGGGTCCAATTATTCTCTCAATTTCATTCCTTTCAAGTTATAAACAAAATTGATTTAAATAAAAAGTTTGATCAATCCAATGTAAATATAAAAGCTTATGCAGCCTCTAATTAAAAAACATTCCTGCTTCAAAATTCTGCATGATGGACGCAATAGACAAAAAATTAGAATTGTGGGTTGAAGGTTGACTTTAGTGAATAATTGAAGAAAAGGATGGTTGGTGTGATCAGTCAAAATAAACTAGTAAAGATATGTATTTGTATTTATTTTCACATTTGCCGATGTTCAGGCTGCTCAGCAGGCCATCAGGGCTGCTCTACTAAGAAGCGTAGATAGATGCTGTTCTAGCTAGAGCAGCTATGATGAAAGCCTGAACTTCCGGCCGAAACATATGAGAATGTGAAAATAAATAGAATTATTTATTTTTACAATTGTATTTTGAATGATCACTCCAACCATCCTACTCTTCAAAAAATTAGATCTGCTAAACACAAAGACTTAGAAACTATTATGACTTGGTCAGCTTGCCACCTCTGTTTATCTTAATTGAGTCTCAAGAGGGAGCATAAGCAAGTTTTACTGTATTACTTCAAGTTAACAAACACAACTAAAATGTGATTCATTATCACCATTATTTGACCTTCATTTCGATTACTAATTCGATCAGCTATCATATTACCTAATATATCAATGTGTAGCATTACCTTGTCTATGACGAGGAAATCATTAATTGTATTCCCAGAAGGTAGTTTCATGTCACCCGAATTACTGACGGCGTCAGGTAAAACGGAGACTAGTTCCTGTGCTATGAGGCCAGTGTGTAAGCTGGCGTCCATGTCAAAGTCTGGTTTGTACCTGAAATTGCAACTTCATATAATTATCACTTGTCATTAAATAAATAGGAAAAGACAAAACAGTTCAGTGCTGTTTCCTCCTCTGTTTCTCAAATGATTTTATTTTTTTTGTTCAGTAGCTATTGACAAGCTTTACTGTTATCGATAAAAAAAAATTGGAAACAGTGATTACAAACAACAACGATAGTTTGTCCAAAACCGCTAACCTCAAAATGAGAAAAAAAAGTTGTTCACCAATTGCTTTGAAATTTTGATACAACATTGCAATCAAATTCAGAATTGTTTTTTTTATAGATTTCATTACCATTTGGCCTTTTGTTTCAAAATGGCAAACATAAAAAGTATGTAAAAGTGTAAAAATAAAGTTTGAAACATGCAAATCCATTTTTGGTTTCCTCATTAATGGGCGAACACTAGTTAAAATTAATATAGGTAGAGCATCCTCTTAAGCATCATTAATCGATCACATTAAGCAATATAAAATTAAAGATACAGGTATAGTAATATGCGATAATTAGATTTTACAAAGTTGAACTTTAAGTAACTGTAATATCTTTAAGCAAGTATATCTTTTCGAGAACTCGTGCAATAAATATCTTGAACTGGTTCTTGATGTCTATGTCGAAATTTAACAAACACAATTTGTTCCATCTTAATCTGCCAACTAAAAAAAAACATTTGAATTTCTATACCTCTCAATATTTCAATGACTTTTATTAAGTTGAAGAAATTTAAGGATCAAAATTCTCAATGGGATTCTCGTCACTTCTACATTGAATTTCCTTTCCTTTGATACCTCATCATTAAAATCCGTTGCTTCTGAGAAACATTTATCTACATTTTCCGTTGAGAGCCAGGAATGTACTATATGACTGAATATTACATAGCATAGACAAAGATTGTATAAATATTTGTGATATTTTTTTTATACAGAACAGAAACAAGTTGGAATGAGCTTTTGAATCAGTTAAATAAATTAATTAATTCAGTATCATGAAATGCTTTCAGTTTTTTTCTTTTATATGTTAATTTATTAATTTACTTGAGGAAATTTCATCAAATAATAAGATTGATAGATATGATTAAACAATAAGTTTAAAAGAAATTCTGAAAATAATATTTACCTGTACTTGACGACCCGCAACCTTGCCAGATTATTAAGCTGTTGCTTACTGTCTACCTATAAATAAAAATTAATCCATTTTTAGTTTACAATCATATTTTAAAAAATAAAACTTAGTATTTGTGATGTACAGAGTGCCTCAGTTGTTGATGACCACACACCGATGGGTGATTCAAGACAAAATTTCCAACAAAAATGTTCATGTGATACATTGCCCGATTCCAAACAGAAAAGGAGCTGAGAGCAATTTCGTGTTTTCTTATAAGAAGAAATTACTCAAAAAATGTTCAAGATAATTAAATTTTAAGTTCACCATTATAATAACAATAATAATAAGGCTTAGCGAACTCAAATGGTCGATGCCAATACCATCAATCGATGTCCACATTCTTCCATCCACTGGGCTTCATCTAAACCAAACCCCACCAAATCAGCCTTAACACAATCTACCCACCTTCGCTTCGGTCTACCCCTTGGACACTTGCCAGTTGGTACAGAGCATATTAATTTTTTAGGAATTCTTTTTTTACCGAGCCAACCGATTTTACATGCCCATTTTATTCGCCTCAACTTAATCACCTCAATTATATTAACCGGATACCGTTCACACAATTCAGCATTGTGTAACCGCCTAAATTCTCAGGTTGACTCATCCTTTTTCGGTCCGAATATTCTGTGCAATACTTTATTTTCAAAAACTTTAAGACTTTGCTCATCCCTCACTATAAGTGGCCACGTTTCACATCCATAAAGAACTGTAGGTAAGATAATGGTTTTGTAAATTCTAGTTTTTAAGTTTCGGGACAGGAGACTAGAACTAATTAATTTTTACAAAGAAAAATAACAAGTATTTCCCGCCTTCAGCCTAACCTTAATATCCTGTTTAATTTAGTTTTTTCTAGTTGTCGTAGACCCTAGATACCTAAAATTCTGTACGTGTTCAAACACGTTCCCTTCTATGTCGATATCATTGAAATTGTCGCTGTTTTTGCAGCTAACCATAATAAAGTAGATAAAATTTTCTTTGACAAAAGAGTGTTTTAATTTACTAAGGGCAATCATAAAAGGGAATTTCAGGAGGTCAAATGTCGCAAAGATGCATTATTCGATAAATCAGAAGTTTCTCGCATATTAAATTATTAAACCATTTATTTTTAAGAGAAAAGAATGTTAATCCAGAGATTTTGAACTTTTACGGTGTTAGATAATCGTTTAACATACCTCACTATTTAATTGGAAGGATAGGAAAGTGAAACTACACATAATATAATACATTAATAGAAAGTGAAATATTATTGTAGGAGACATGTGAAGGTCAATATTAATGTTTACAAAAATTTGTCTTACTTATGATCTTCGTTTAATATTCTTATCTATCATAAACAGAACCATTTTTTATTGTCAGTGGGAATACAGAGATATACTAGGTACTGTGATATATGTATCGGTACTATAACTGCAGCAGTACAGCGGCTGTATTAAACCTTCTGAAAGTCTCTTTTATCATTAACCTTAGTAATGTAAATAACCTGTTAAAAGTTAATAGTAAATAACGTTTTGGCGGGAATTGTGAATAGCCTTCCGCTTTTTTATCGAGGAACTAGGTTATTTACACTCGTGAATATTAAGACAAAATCCCAGCAATGGATATAGACTTTTTGAGGTTCTTTAAGTGTCGTTGGGAATTCGGGAATCTAATACCTTTTGTGACACTGAATGAGAATAAACAATAAGAATATATATATGAAATGTGGGACTTAGTAAACACACTTTGAATTAATTGAATCACCTGGTTTGTTATTCTTCAATCGTGAGGCCTATAGGACAACTAAATAAATAAATAAATGACTTTTCACTCCTGTCAAACAAAACAATTTATTTTACAACTGTAATAACTGAATCTATATAAGTGAACTGTCGGCTTGATATTCTTGGTCTTCAATGTTCTGCTTCTCTCATCTCAGGTAACGTCCTCACGCCTCCATGTCTCAGCCTGAAGTAAGTACTCCTTACTTTCTCTTTACTTACTCCTTACCTCTTCTGACAACCTCCTTTCTACCTGTCCCGGCCTAGAATGCCTTCTCCTCTCTCCAGCTCTTGCTTCCTGCTCCATCCTTTTTCCAGCGTCCTTCTTCGATTGTTTCTCGATATGTGACTTTTCAATGAATAATTTGTCCACTGCACAATTGAGTATAATTCATCGTGCAACCTCACATTCCTATGTATTATATATTCCTTCTCTTTCCCTCACACAATGTCACATAAAGGAGTAAATACTGGGGGCTATCGACTACAGTAAATTTAATCAGTTTACTCACTTTATGATGTACTTTATGGTTTGTCTACTTTATGATGTACTTATAATTTAATTATCTTGAACATTTTTTGAGCAATTCCTTCTTATTCAATAAAAAACCTGACCAGCTTAGGAAAAACACAAAATTGGTCTTAAGTTCTTTTCCTTTTGGAATCGGCCCGTGCATCAAAAGAACTTTTTTGATGGAAATTTCGTCTGAGACAACCTGTATTTTAGCAATGGACAGACTGATGGAGTTCAAATAATATAAATACACTTTATTAAGTATTAAATAAAAACTAAACAAACCTCTTGAATGAAAGCCTTGGCTCGAATATCGGAAGGTTGGACAATATGGCCTGTCAGTTTGATATTACCGTGAACGACTAGCGCTTCATCAGGCCTCTCAGTGTTGATCCCGACCCGCCCACAATGGAAAACCGAGTCACCTGTCATGCCTCGTTGCCATACAGCTTCACCATCACTTTCAAATTGACCTGGGTTGGAAGCCTGGAATATTTAAAATTTTATTAATGTCTTTTATAATATTATTCACTGATATACCAAGAAAAATATTAAATACACTGAAAAAAAGATTTAAATTACATCTTCACCCCTTATTAAGAAAATAGAGATTTTATTCACAATTTTTTAATATATAGCAACCCTAGCAATAGGTCTTGAGGCACTTTACCATGTTCCTGCAACTTTTTCCAGTTTCGGCCCGATCCCTCAAGAGTTTAAGTATCCAAAGTTATGGTATATGTTTTAGGATGATGTATTAAGTTAATTATTAAATTAAATGTATTAAGATAAGTCTTTATTAGGCTACCAAAGTGGGATGTGGTATATCCAGTTTTTAGTAATTTGATCTTATGTTTTCAGTACTGATGACACTAGGAGAAACAAAATGTTGACTAGTAGGCTATTAACTACTATTCCGGAGTCGATATTACAGTATATAGCAATAATACAGTATGATAGCAACGATAACGGCCTAGTATGAAATTCTGGAGAGAAATAATACACATTTCACTCCTTCGGGGCCTGCCATGTCTATAGCGAGATCAGAGATGTTTTGGTTGGTAAACCTGTTCTCCTGAAGAAAGATTTAGTTTATTTTAATATTTTAACTAGAAAATCTTAAGTAATTATATAAAGCACATTGTAAAGAGCTCAACAAGTCAGTTTGTGAACGATTAGTGGAACACCTTCTTTATTTGTTATACATAATATTTGTTTGTTGTTGTTATATACTTTTAATGCTTACTTTAAAAACTTTGTATCAAGAATTGAGAAAGTTGAGGAGGAGGGAATGTTATAATGTAATTAATGAAAATAATATTGCTCAGGTAATGCATTTAATATATAAAATGAAATATAGTTTGTGGGAATAATTCACAGACCTCCACAGATGCAATTTTCCATTATCTAAATGTTGTAAGATATAATAACTATGATATATTTGGTATGTTATGTATGTTAATAAACACTTTTTCATTCATTCATATATATGCATATGACCTCTTTAAGTAGTTAACATAGAAATGAAAAGTAATGAAGAAGTTTCTTACCCGAACAATAATTCTTTCTGAAGCGTGGGAAGTAATAGGGTAGTGCGAGGAGTCGGTACAGTGTGCGTGAAGGCCGACAACGAGGTAGAAATACCTCTGGTCAGGGTTCGGTTTCCCTTTCTTTCTCATATTATTTGATGTCGTCTCGCTGAAATGCAACCTTCCAACTGTGACTTTAGAAACTTCCTCTCCCTTGAATTCAAGGCTTAAAAAAAAAATAACAAAAAATTAGAAAACTTGTTTAACTAAATATTCAATTACTTGAGACGGCCACTGATGATCACTCCAAAGGGAATAATGGAATGAAGTGGAAAGGCTGGAAAGAGAGTGAAGATGACTTCAAGAGATCCACTCCACTCCATCATTCCATTTTTTACAGACAGTAGTGATTAAATCTGCTACAGGCCATTTTCAAAACTATTTCAAACTCATTAATACTAAAACTGTAAACATTAATAACAAACACGATTTCTGAATATTCTGAATACGTTCTATTTGGTACAGAGTGGTTGGAATGAAGTGATTCTCAGTGTCTGCCTTAAGAGCCCTAAAAGTATGCTTTTATTGCGAATTTTTTCTTTTTAAACAATATAAAGTCATCAAATATACAGTAGTGATGTTAGAGATGTAAAACTTATTAACCTTTAGTAGAAAAAAATATTATATATAATTATAGACAACTCTTCAGAATATTACATTTATTAATTAATATCTTACAGCACAGGATGAAAAGCCTTTTTACTTCTGTCGCTCTGCGATTGTTCTACTTTGATTGTTTGCGAAGGAGATTCGACTTTTACTCCGTAAAAGTGAAGGTAGAAATTTTCAATCTTGCGGAGGCCTTCCGGGGTCTTCACAAAATGAGGTTCCCCTATAAGCTGAGTATGACAGGTAATCTGGAAAATAAAAAATTGTTTATCTTTATATCAGAATTATTATGTTTTTTTATTTCTATAATATAAAAGTAAAAATAATTAATATAATATAAATTAAAAAAATGTATACCTGAAAATGATTTTTCTTTTGACAGACAAAGGCATCATCCGTATTCGAGAAATTAAAGCCCTTATCAGCATCAACACGATAATGCGGCGTTGGTCTGTAAAGAAAGAAAAAAAAATTAACATTACAACTAATATATCTTTTTATTTCTAATCACAAAGAAGTAGCGCTTACAGCTCCTTAAGGTTATGATCACAGAGGGTGTGCCAAGAGGTCTGTTGAAATGCCGAAAACCTAATGCACTGAAAATTACTCGAATCCAGGTACATTCCGTTTTCGGCTGAGCCATCTTGATAGGAGACGTCATCTTCAATTATAAGTTCTATAATGACAAAAGACATTGAATTAATAGTTTAGATAAGATTTAAACATTGTTCACACTATGTGTGAGAAACTCACAAGTTCTTAAATTTAAATCAGCTGTCATCTTTTAAAATTTCAAAATGGTGGATTGAGTTAATTTGAAACCTTGTATTTAAAAATAAAAGGTCCTATGTACAGCCTCTGTTTTATTATTATTTTCTTTTTGTTTTGGCAATATTGAGGTAAACAAAATGGGAGCATTATGGTAGGTATATTAGCACATAAGTGGATTGTACATAAAAGTGAAAATAATAATAATAATAAAAGGCTTAGCGAACCCGAAGTTTCGATGCCGACGCCACCAATCGCTTATTACACACCTCCCTCCACTGTTCGCCATCCAAACCTAGTCCCTTCAGATCGGCTTTAATACAATCTTCCCACCTTAGCTTCAGTCTACCTCTCGGACGTTTACCAGTGGGTACAGCAAATATTAACCTTTTAGGAATTCTCTCGTTACTAAGCCCAACAATTTTACAAGCCCATTTGATATGCCGGGATGAAATCATTTCAATTATATTATCCGTATATGATTCACGCAATTCGGTGTTGTGTAACGTCTGAACTCTCCAGTTAATTCATCCTTCTTCGGTCCGAATATTCTATGCAATACTTTATTTTCAAAAACCTTAAGATGTTGCTCATCCCTTAATGTAAGTGGCCACGTTTTGCCTTGCATCCAAGGTAAGAAAATGACATAAAAGTGATTCATCACCAATATATATAAATATTTATATAAATTCTAAATTTATTTATTTGTTTGTTGTTGTTATATATTTTTAATGCTTATTTAAAAAACTTTGTATCAAGAATTGAGAAAGTGGAGGAGGAGTATATGTTATAATGTAATTAATGAAAATAATTACATAATTTTGCAGACGTTGTAAATATATAAGTCAGGAAGAGGTGAAATAGTTGCTGTTAATTTATATTTTTTGTTAGTTTAAAAAAAAATAAAGATATTCATGAAATTAATATTTTTCCACTATTTTCCTATGTACATGATTTCCAGTATTTTAACATTTTCTTTACTGGTAAACATCAGGAACATTCTTGTAACCAACACTGTTTTAAAATCAAGAAATTTATTTAATGTTTGAATATTAAATATGGCCATTAGCACACTAGACTTTGTTACTGGGTTACTAGGTCTGTTAAAAGTTGTGCTAATTTCAGAAACATGCAGGGAAAGTTATAATGAGGTTTTCATTTAATGTTTGCTATATTTTTTCCTTGTGAAATGAAATGTGAGAAGAAAATCTGGTAAATGTTGGACCCCAAAGAGAACAAAAATTTCCTTTTGTCCATAATTATGGAAAATCACATGAAGTTATAACTTTTTAAAAAATATTTTATAAATTTATCGTTGGCACACTACGGGTTAAAACAGTATTTAAATAAAAGAAAAGCATGCAACTAAAACTTAAAATTGGAAAGGAGAGGTTTCAACTGCAACTAATGTCATTTTCATTCATTCAAGACTCAAGCAATTAGCATGAATACTCCTGTACGGTTCAAAATAAAATTTTATCTTTATCAACTCACCACTGCTTATTAGATTACCAGGTTCTGTTTTAACAGAACTGGAATTATCTTGACTCAATTTTCTCTTCTTTAAGGCACTGTAAACAGCTGAGATCGGTGACTCGTCAGTGGCAGGACCAGTTGCTATCAACGTGCCACCTTAATATTTAAAAATATATTAATAAAAAACAGTGGTCATAATACACGAAAAGATTATAATGTAAAACAAAAAAATTAACTAACCAGAGAGCGGAGAAAGCGGTTGATCGTGTAACGGTGTGTGAGCGAGAACGGCAGGGTGCAAATCACCTGGCGTAAGTAACTTGCTATAAACACCTCCAGGGCTTAACAGCAGTTCTTCAACGCCAACCTTCGCTTCTGAATGCAGATAGATAAAAAAGAAAAAAATTAATTGGTTTTGCACACTAATTAACCTAAATATTGAAGAAATCTGAAAAGCTATTGCATATTTTTTACCATTATAAATATATTAGTTGGTTTTTAGAGGATAAAAAGTTGTGTAAAACAGTATTCAAACAAAAAACATTTTTCTTCTGTTCATTTTTCCTAAAATTGGTGTCTTGAGGTTTTATTTTTTACATAAATTAGGCCATTATTCACCAACATTTTATTGATAAGCTATTAATTACGACGTTTCGACCATACTAAGGGCCATTTTCAAGTCTTAATGAGTCCTCCGTTAGATATTCATTATTAATGTCGCATTAATTTGTTCAGTGAAAATTAACTTGTCCTGCTATTTAGGAGTTTCGCCTACGTCATTTCTGGAGGGACTGAAATAGCAGAACAAGTTAATTTTCATCGAACAAATTAATGTGACATTAATAATGAATATCTAACGGAGGACTCATTACGACTTGAAAATGGCCCTTAGTATGGTTGAAACGTTGTAATAACTTATAAATAAAATGTTGGTGAATAATGGCCTAATTTATGTAAAAAAACATTTTTGTAAAAATGATAAATGTTTCAATTTTAAAGTTTATTATCTTCTTCATTGTAAACTGATTTAAACTTGCAGACATTGTAGATGTAATATATACTTAAATTAGGATTATTTTCTATTAAAAACAAGTAAAATTTTAATCTTTTATTTTTTCATTCTCTAAATAATGCTAAATTATTGTCTAAATTGCACTTTATTGTCCACATCAATGTTTACTCTTCATTTTTAAAGTCAAGAGCCATTGTATAAATTCTAGAAAGCTCAGTTTATCAGTGAAAATTTTTCAATATTGGAATTTTTCACTTTTTTTCCTGTAATTTAATTTAGCATTCGATATTTTATAATTTCTTTTTATTTTCTATTGGACATTACATTTATTTCAGAAAATGGCAAAATATCATGCAATACCACTTGGGTTTAAGCTAACTGGGCAAAATTTTAATTTTCAACGAGGTAAAAAATATGATATTTTGCCATTTCCTGAAATAAAAATAACATTAAATAGAAAACATAAATAACATTTATCATTTTTATAAAAATGTTATTTGTTCTAAGACTTTTTCACACCACTCCAAGTGCAATTTATAATTCTAAAAGTAATTGAAAACATTTTCAAATATAACAGTCCATTTTAACTATCAGATTGGCTGTTTATTGGCTGGAACTTTCGTCAGTTTAGAAAATCCATAGCAATTAAAATAAAGGTTTAACTTAAACCATCCTTTAGTCAAAACTTAGTTTTGGTAAATTTATCGATTTGCTTCTAGAGACTTCATTTAAGAATTGAAAAACAAAATTAAAGAAATTTAAATAATAAAATTATAATAACTTACGGTTCCTGGGTGAATGAGGCTTTGCTTCTTGAGGGGAATAAGGAGGTTCTGAACCAGAGTCAGGGGGACTTTCTGGTAAATTATGTCTGGAAAAAAAAAAAAATTATTAGTTATAAAAGATATAATATGAACCCATTTTATAATGAATTAAGACACTTTTGGTCGATACGGCTTTGCTAAATGATGCAGTTATTTTAGAAAATGTGAGAAATAAAAAAAAAAAATTTGTAAAATCAAAACCAATCATCATAATTGTAAATTTTATAAATCAACTATGGGTGGTAGATAGTGAGGACGCAGAAGTTTTATGATTTTTTATTTATCAACGTTTTTTGTCCAAGCTTGTGGGTCATCATCAGTGCTGGTAACATGTATCTGGTAACCTGATGATGATCTACAAGCTTTAGATGAAACATCGGCAAATAAAAACCATAAAAAACTGACTGGTCCTGATTATCTATCATCTATCATATATAGAACAATCGATTAACTTCCTCCAATAACTCATAAATCAACCATAATATTTAAAACCAAATCTAAGAAAATATCATACCTTATAGGTATGGAACAGGAGCAGGCAAACCATACCTTTCGAGTCATATCTGACTTAGTGTGAATATTAGAGAGGGGTCTTGGATGTATATATATATTTTTTTTACATCTTACATCACTCTTAATTCATAAATGAATGAATTATAAACATTGAGAACTCAAATGATCTATCTTTATGTCTTATGATTGGGGACTAAAAAAAAAAAAACAGGAATTTCTAACTTTTTTAATCCTCAACATTTTTACACCAAATTTTGATCGCCTTCAAGGTACGCTCCCTTGACTAGAATGCAACTCTCCAAACGATCCTTCCAATGTTCTTTTAAATTCACTTATCGGGGTGCTCTTTAGGCCCTCCTGCGATTTTTGTTTTGCCTCACTCACAGTGGCAAAACGCTTTCCTCTCGAGTCCCTTTTTTAGTGTGGGAAACAAAAAGAAATCACAGGGGATTAGATCCAGTGAGTAGGGGGAAGAGTGGACAATCCGTGTTATACAATTTTTGGTCAAAAACTGCTTAACGGAGAGGGCAGTGTGGGTTAGCGCGTTGTCCTAATGGAAGAACCAGTCGCCTGTGCTTCAAAGATCTATCCTTTTCTTCCGGATTCTTTCCCTCAATCTTTTCAAAACCTCCAAACAGAACTTCTGGTTGACAGTTTGAGCCGGAGGAATTGACAATCACCTATGAAGCTTTAGCTAAGGAAGTGTTGGTGACAAACCAAAAAATTAAAAGAAACATGCGCTACTCTATATTGTTCAGATAAAGTGATGGCTGAATGTGTTAAAGTCTAGCGACACCAGTTGGCACAAAGTAGCAGACCCAAAGATTGAATCTCGATTTTCTCACCCTCATTAGAATAGGTTTGGATCTACCTCTAGAACAACCCCTCTTCCCCGAAGCCATCGGTATAGATAACTACGTCCTAGACCTATTGTGAGACAAGTTATATGTATTACAAGAACATTAAACTCATTTTTATTTGAAGGGAAACATCTGAACAAACTGCTCTCTTGTAAAGTTAAGGAAATGCGACATAGTCTCCTATACCACTGAGGTACAGGTACGTATAACTAAATATATATATGATCTAACTTACGGCTGAGTATAATGCTGCGTATCTATTGACGTGTTCGAAGGGAGGTGGCTAACAACAGTCAATGTTCTCGTTCCTCGGTCCGTGCAAAGTGATTCACCGAAATACCTGAAATATAAATAAATACTAATTGATTTATGTTTAATAATAAAAATATATCAGTCACACATCAAATTGAGAGTGCTTAATTTAAACACAATATCTGAGAAATATTGGTTTAATTAATTTTTCTTTTATATAAGTAATTAGGGAGGAAGGAAGTTCAGTGAGTATGGCATTGTGCTTCTATGCTCAAGACCAGACTTGGTAGGCAATTATTTATTCTGTTACATCAGCTGTGGATCGACCCTGGGGTCAGGATATCCTACTGGCACATGCAGCTTCAATCGAAGAACCATGGAAAGACCTTCTTCTGTGTCTTTCCACACTTCTCGGATTGAACAACCCTGAACTTCGGGCCGAAACGTTGGCAAATATAAAAATAATTATGATTATTTATTTTTACTATTTTTTATTTTGACTGATCACCCCAATCATCGTTCTCTTCAATTATTCGCTACAGTAAACCTTCAATCCACAATTGGAATTTTTTCAATTCATATTTTGATATATTTTTAAAACTGTCAATATTATACATAAGAATTGGCAATCATATTCCTAATATTTTTGAAAAATATTGAGGCCCCATACATGGATTTTTATATAAATTTACTTCCGTAATTCTCACCCAGTTGAATCTTTTATTTTCTGCCAAGAGATTCACACCAAGTTCATAGAATTTCAGAAATTTACTCATTCTCTCCCATCCGTTCAGTGATAGTATCACAAGACAAAAATCAAATTCTAAATAGAAGGTAACATGTATTGAGCCTCAAGTTTACTTAAGGAGACAAAATGTACAAGAATATTTATTAACATAAATAAATACTAATGTATATATAACATAAATACGATTACTATAAAAAAAAAAAAAATTACGAATTAGACTGGTCTGTTTCATCGTTGATAAAGTCTTCTAGTTGGCTAAAATCTATGGCTTCATTATCAATGGCTCCAAAATCTGATCGTCCTGAAACATATACAAAATACTTCATTAAAATAAAATTTCTATTATTTTATCAAAAAAACATAAGTTGAATGACTAATTTTCAAGGCTGAAGCCCCTCCTCCTCTCCCAAAGAAAAATGGTAAAAGATAACCTTGTTTTATGAAAAAAAAAATTTTAAAAAATTATCTCTGAAACTATTATTGTTCCTGTAATTACATTTAATAGGACTTCAATAATCACTTAAATACCATTTCATAAGGGTAGTTTCTTTTTTTTTTCCATAGTAATTATTATTATGTATGTGAACAAAAAAAAAGCTTTCGGGCTGAAACCCTCCCCCCCAAAAAATTAAATCCTGGATATCGAAGCGCTGAATTATTGGGATGAAAGAAGGAAGAATAAAGTAGGATTGATGATCAAATATTGTGTTTTTTTTTTTTTATTATTACAGACAAAAGTGAATTTCTAACCAATAATATTAAAGAGCATAATAACTAAATATATAATTTAAACTGTTGATTTAACACTTGATATAAATAATCAAAATGCTCAAATAATTTTTTTAATTTTGAATAATTGATTTTTTAATGGAATTTATAAAGTGGTAGTAAGTTTTTCAAACAAAGCTAAATTTAAGAATATAATTCAAGCAAAACATCTACATAATATTACAGAGAATAAGGCTTGTTTGTCCCAAACGTTTTAATTTTCTTTGAACAGAGGGCTATTATTTGATATTTATTATAAGATCTAAAGTTTTGGGAAATAGTTTTTTCAAATACTTCATACCTATGTTTTTAGAATTTTGCAGATTATTCGCAAATACTGTTTTTCACTTGCAATTAATTTAAATGGACGCCAATAGCCATATTCAATTCTATAGAACTACCAACGAAAGATTAAAACCAATAATTCCTAAACCAAATTCCAAAACAAAACAAAATATTTATCATTCTATCTGGTGAAATACACTGTAAATAATGGAATTTAACTTTTAACAAATTCTTGTTCAATGCCACTATTTAACTCGGGTTTTCCCAGGTAAAGATTTTAATCAACAATACAAAGAATGCAACGAAGGTAATGACACAATCGCCATTGAGTTATTAACGTCTAAAGAATTCCACAACTGAAATAACAAGTGAATCTTCGCGTGAGTTGTTATCAGTTCTACAATCGATTGCTGAAGCCACTAGCGGATCCAGAATTTTTTTTTTTTTGAGGGGGGGGCCTTCAGTCCGAAAGATTTTTTTTTTCATATACATAACGATAATTAATTAGAAAGAAAGAAATTGAATGTAATTGCACGAACAATAATACTTTAAGAGATAGTTTTAAATATTTTTTTCTATAACACATGGTTATATTTTACCTTTTGGGGGGCTTCAGCACGAAAGCTTCCCCGCAAATCCGCCTGTGGCTGAAGTGTATATTTTGAAAAGGTAGGGTCACCGATAGATAATTTAGAAACTGGAAAATGGATAGTTTTATCCAGATATTACACGAAGAAAAAAAAATTTTATTCTGGAACATTTATTCCCCTTAGAATAATAATCCGTTGTACAGACCCCTTTTTATCGAATTATTAACATCCGCCTGAAACTTCGAAAATAGTTTCATATAATCGTAACCTAAAACTATGTTATTTACGAAAACTCTGGGAATTGGGGCGTTTTCAATCTGGAGGATGGCAAACTCTGTCCATTTAATTAGGTACTAAAAACTCGTAAATACTCATTTTCTTTCTACTAGGATCGTATGATAATTTGATCAAAAAATCGACAAAAAAATGGTCTTTTGGCGTGACCTAAACCCCCAAATTTTCAAAATAACGAGGTTATATCGGACAAACGGCTCAAGATTTGGTGATCAAATTATCTTACGGTCAAAGAAAAAGCAAATGGGTATTTACGGGTTTTTAGTACCTAATTAAAGAGATTTATTTTATTATGATATTTGCAAAAATTATTTTGTTATGAAATCTCGTGGATCCCATAGGTAATCTTCCTCGGATCCGTTGAGAAATCTTGCATTTTACATTATACAATTGTATGAATACAGTTGCATTATTATAATTACATGTACATTGTTTTGTTATTACTCCGCTAAATTCTAAACGACTAATGCATATCTGCCTGTTGATTATATGTAAATTAGCTGCTCAATCATAGGTTGACTCAGCGCTAAAATATTATGAAATAAGTAATTTTTCACTTCCTTGCATGAGTCGAAACATAATTCATTTCCAAGACTTTTCAGTTCGAATCATTTCCCTGAGTCTGTTTAACATAGGAAAAATAAATCAAACTCATAAAAAATTCTTAGAAAAATAATGAGATGTGAACAATTTTGAATAATCACTATACAGTAATATCAGTTTTGTACTTCTTCTTTTTTTTTTTTTAACTTGTGTAATATTTACCTAGAGCCGTAATGTGTAGTGAAAGAACTCCGACCACTACACCAAGTTTAAATATTCCTAGATGTCCATTATCCTACCAATCTACCAGAATTTTTAGTTGATATGGAAGTACATTACCTGACAGGCCTGGAGCCAGTCGAAGATTATCGCAGGCGAAGGTTTGTAATTGTAAATTACGAAAGAGTATGTTATTCTGAGTAAAAAGAACCTTGGTCTGCCGTTCCAGAGCCGATGCTTTAAAAAATGGTGACTGATTTAATTTTGGCCAGTAATTTGACGAAACCGAAAATCCATCGCGAAAAAAATGTGAGAAAAGTTTTTATTTTTTTACTTGTATCCATGGGTTTAGGCATGTAAAAATCAAAATTGCTGACGCGGACCACCTAGAGGAAACTTTTTGCAGCAAAAAAAGTCAGATTTTTTCAATATTTTTTAGTTTTTTCACTTATAACTCCTAAACGATACATCAAACGAAAAATGTACTCCTTAATAAATTAAATAACGTTAAATTGTGCGTCGAGCGAATACATAAACTTTATAATTTGATTATGCGGTAAGGTATAAAACCACGGTAAACCAATGCTGAGTTTCACCAAATTTGTCAAACACTGAGACAAATTACTATAAATGGCCCTGTAACATGGAAATGAGTTCCCTAAGAGGAAACACCTATAGAATCAAAGTTCCAGAACATCAAATTTTGAAATTCAGTGAATATCAATTAAATTAATGTAAGTCACTTACTCCGAACCAAATCTGTAATCTCCCGATGGTTAGAAATTGGTTATGAAGGTAAACGTGATTTTCAATTTTTAACAGTATGGGTGTCTATTCTATGGAGTTATTTTTGTTTAGAGTCTGTTACATGCAGTTTAAGCCTCTTTTTCACCTCTCAGCAGCGAAGGATTGCGGTAAATGATGTGTCGAAAGATACCGAATTTCATAAAGGAATAACGAATCCCGATTCGAGATATATAATTGGCCTACAACAAAACTGTCAGTACTCAGTGGACGCAAAATTTGATGCTCTACAAATTTGATCATAGAGGTTTTTCCTCTTAGGGAACTCATTTCCAAGTTACAGGACCATTTATAATAATTTGTTTCAGTTTTTGATACATTTGGTAAAAATCAGCGTTGCTTGACCGTGGTTAAACTTGACCAAATTATAAAGTTATACTTGTCCGACGCACAATTTAATGTTCTTTAATTTATTAAAGGTCACATTTTTCGCTTTGCTGGATCGTTTAGGAGTTAAATGTGAAAAAAAATCTGACTTTTTTGGCTGTAAAAAGTTTTCCTTTGGTGGTCCGCGTTAGTAATTTTGTTTTTTGCATGTCTAAACCCATATATACAAGTCTCAGTTTTTGTCAAATTCGGTAAAAATCAGCATTGGTTGACCGTGGTTTTATACTTTACCACGTAACCAAATTAGAAAGCTTATGTACTCGTTCGACGCACAATTGAACGTTGTTTGATTTATCAAAGAGTACATTTTTCGCTTTGATGCATCGTTTAGGAGTTATATGTGAAAAAACAAATAAAATATCGAAAAAAATCTTACATTTTTGGGTGTAAAAAATTTTCCTTTGGTAGCCCGCGTTTGTAATTTTGATTTTTTTTAAATGTCTAAACCCATATATACAAGTTAAAAAAATAAAAACTTATCTCACATTTCTTACAATAGATTTCCCCTTTCGATCATCAAATTACAGGCCTGATATTCTTTAAATCAACCGCCATTTTTGAAAGCAGCGGCTCTAGAACGGCAGACAAGGTTCTTTTTACTCAGAATAACATACACTTTCGTAATTTACAATCAAACCTTCGCCTGCGATTAGTTCGATTTTTGGGTCTGGCCCCACGGTTATTAGGATAGATTGAATTTCTCTATTTCTGTAGTCAGTTTATTTTTATTTTTTAATTCATTAAATAAGTTATACACTCAAACTGTTCCATATTATGGAATCAGTTACATGTTAAATAATTAGAAATATTTTATTAACCAAAATTGTTCTATAAATTGGAATCAGTTAGTTACTGAAACGGATTCATATTTTTGTATTCAGTTATATACAAACACTGCTCCATAATTAGTAATCTGTTATTAACCAAAATTGTTCTATAGATAGGAATCAGTTATTTACTGAAACGGTTTCATATTTTTGTATTCAGTTATATACTAAAACAGTTCCATAATTATAATTATAAATCTGTTATTAACCAAAATTGTTCTATAAATTGGAATCACTTATTTACTGAAACAGTTTCATATTTTTGTATTCAGTTATATACTAAAACAGTTCCATAATTAGAAATCTGTTATTAACCAAAATTGTTCTATAAATTGTAATCAGCTAGTTACTGAAACGGATTCATATTTTTGTATTCAGTTATATATTAAAACTGTTCCATATTTTTTTAATCAGTTCAATACTAAAACGGTTCCATAATTAGAAATCTGTTATTAACCAAAATTGTTCTATAAATTGGAATCAGTTATTTACTGAAACGGTTTCATATTTTTGTAATCAGTTCGAAATAAAAACTGTTCCATATTTTTGTAATCAGTTCTGTATTAAAACGGTTCCATATTGAG